ACGTCTCAGTTTTTTCCCAGTGGTAACAGTGGCTTGGTAAACGATTTCCTTCTGCAAACATTCGCCTTTTAACGGGCAGTCATTTTGGTTGCAACGGTTGTACATCCTTGTGGTCTGATCTTGTTCAGATGTATAGGATTTCTTGAGAATGGCTTTGTTATGGCCGTCAATAACCTGCTTGATGTTGGGTGTGCAAGAATAGCTTAATTTCAAAGTGTTTCTATTAAATATTTTTTTTCAATTTCTGGCCAAGTGGAAAGCATGTATTAATTAGGTTGATGAACATTCTTCGAATGTTTGTTTGCACATTTCTGTTGAATGGTGGGTTGAACCAAATAACGTTTCTCCGTCTTCTCCTTTGGTTTGATGGTTTATGTGGTGCTGGCTTAAACTTCAGGTTTGTTGAGCAGCCCCTCATTCGTAGTGCATCCTGGTTAGGAAATTTCCGACAGCCATCTGGTGATTGCTTCTAGGGTATTTCTAATTATGTTGGGCAGGTGGTTTGATTTGCTCTGCATATAGATAAGGGTAGTTGCTGCACAGAAAACTGGCCAGAGGTAGGAGAAATAACTTGCACAAGTCACCCCAAATTTGACTTGGTAATCTTATGTAAATTAGCCAAAAACAAGGAGGGTGGTCAAGTTGACTTGAAAAAAAGCCAATCAGATTAAAAAGGGAATATTTTTTAATCATATCAGAAAGGTAATCTGTGGTAGGAATTTGAAAGGAATCAGCTGACCTCGAACCGTGGGCCCTGCCCGGTTTTCTCTGACAATGACAGTTCATTGGTTTATTGTGAGCTTTACGTCTTGCTCCCATCAGTTAAAGATTTATTTCTACATGGAAACCGAAAAGGTCGTCCTTGAAAACTGTCAATCACCATACATAAGGAATATATATACATCTTTCAAACTTTTTCAAAAAAAAAATACATAAGGAATATATATACATCTTTCAAACTCTCTCTGCTCTCTGTCTGTCCTCCGGTTTGTCTTTGTCCTTGACTTTAGTAAGTAGTTGTTGTAGAGTGGTTATCAGTTTGTGTGAAACAGGTATATTGTAAGGTTGTAGTATATGTGTGATAGTTTCAGAGGTGCCTCCGATGTACAAGAATGAAGGACCTCTTTCCAGCTGTCACTGATGTAGCTGGCCAGCTGGTTGTGATAAAGAACTCACTGGAGCTGATGTGGCAGGTGTTGATGTGAATTGTGCAGGCGTTGTGAATTGTGTATATAGTGAATGAGGATTGTGCAGCAATAATTCTATTCTAAAACAGTTATTCACCAGCGATTATTGAACATTCAACGACATCAACTTTATTAGCAATTAGTTAAAACAACTCTACTTTGACTGTCGGTTTTATGTTTAGAATGGCCAGATAAAACGTTACTCAGTTACTGGACTGGGGTGCTGTATGGTACATAATACTCGGCTGGTTAAACTGCGTGGAGAAATGATGGTATCAGATAGATAGAATAAAACCATGCATAAGGCATATTCATCACTTGAAAAAAAAACTGAAAGGAGCACATATGTTGTTATGTTTCAAACTGTTAAAAAGGATAGAAAGCCTATACTGAAATATCACTGGAAAGATTGTTCTTCTATTTTACTACCTCTTGTTACCCTGGCATATAAATTTCGAAATGTAGCTGTAAACTTCCAAAGGGTTTGGTCTATCTTACTTCTACTTTGCTAATCAGCAGTAATAGATTAAGTATGCACAGGAACAACGAAATAAAAAAGAAGAACGTGGGAAAATTCCTTCATTGCATGCCTAGAATATGTTAAAGAACTTCTCACCCACATCACCATTCTGGCTTTCCACAGCGGTCCCTGCTGTTTCTTTCTTCTGTGACCTAAGGAACTCGTATCAAGCTTACTTCATTCCCATCTTAGTAAGGAATCTATGTGGAGCTCTATCAGACATTTGTCATTGGAAATTTGTATTTCTACTTATAAATAAGTTCTTCTCAAGTGAAATCACTACTTAAATATTTCCTCACTGAATAGAAGAAATATGCAAGTTTAACACTTCTTAATTTGACGCACTAACCGTTAGACACAAGCACCATCCATTTTGCTATGATTACAAGTTGAACAACATCTCACTTAAATAGTCACTCAAGTAAATGACCTCGGAGTTACTGTCTCACTGGGAAACCAACAGTTGGCATCATCCTGATTGCTGCTACCTGTAAGTCACAATCCAAAATCGAAGTATAGGCCTATCTTGTGAAAATTTAAAAAAACGTTTAGTGGTGTGATTCAAGGCAGAATCCAAAAGTGAAACTACGCAGGTATCTTGTATAACTTGGTCACCGGAGAAGAAACAAACTCACATGAATTCTGGACTTTTCTTGGAGTCAAGTTTCCTTAAGGTGGACCGTTACAAGAGTGCAATTTATTTAAAGTATTGTTATCATTGATCAATAACTATTTCGCAAAGTAATCGCCCATTCCCGCGGAATTTCGAGTTGTTTTGTTCACTTTTAAAGAATTACTAAATACAATCGAATCTTCTATCACATATTGAAAATTCGAATGTCCCTTACACAAAAAAGCACTGTCTAACTGTGCTATCTGGTCATAGTATGCATGGTGGAATGGTCCTTGCCTTTCTAAGAGTGTCTCCAATAAGTTCTCTCTGGCTTTGTTGGGTTGGAACCCCTTTTAAGAAAGACAATATAGAGTGTATAGGGTTAACAATTGTGTTGCTGGTTTCTTTACATTGCGGCAATGTTTGTATCACAGCCAAGGTTCTTGTCATTTTGTTTCAAAGCACATACCATTTAACCTCTACTTGTAGTTGATTAAGTGGTAATAGCCAGGCCAGGCAGCAGGATAATGACCACTTTGGATTCTTGCGCCATTCTTTTATGTAGTGGTAAATATCTGCCAGATATTTACTCAAACAAATCACAAACTCTTTCAAATAAAGAATTGGCCTTTTCGATTCAATTTATATTAATCTTTGAGCACAGAAGAAAGACCTTAAGGTGGTAACTTGCACGAGAACAGTAGCTATAGTGCACTAAATAAAATGAGTAAAAAGAATATCTGTGTTGGCAAAAGTGCCTTGAAAGAACTGAGTTAATAATTAAACACAAAATACCGTAAGTCCTAAAGAAGTAAAACAAAATTGCAAAATGTTCTGAAACAAAATTTAAAAGTACAATATTACATTTTTACTGTTTATGCTTACATTTGTTCTTCATTTGAAGTGCCACAAGGGCAGTAAGTGCACTACAATAATATCACCCAACTGGTGATAAAAAAGTACATCGCGTAGATAAAATCGTTTAGCATTTTTGTAATTCAGGAGAAGTGTAGTAATAAATTTTAGAAAAAGTAACAGAACAAATGCCACCAGGCGTGGATCTAGGGAAAATCCTGACCGTTTTACTGACAACCGAGCGCCAAAGGCGCAAGAATCTAGGGGGGTCCGGGGGCAAGCCCCCCCGGTAAAATTTTTTCAATTTTAATTGCCTAAAGCGCCCTCTCCTGGCTTCTGGAGTCAATCGGACAATATATTTGCAAGTTGCATTCTTCTTGGATGGAGCCTTGCAAACCTACGAATTATTTCATCAAAGTCAATGTCCATGTTGTAATGAATGTGCAGCAAGGCAAGTCCTGTCAATCTTGTCTGTGACATCGTGCTTCGTAAATATGTTTTTAGTCGCCTCAAAGCCGACACATTCCTTTCGCACTCGCATGTGGTGACTGGCAGGGTGGAAAAAATTTTGAAGCACTCTGTAATGTAAGGATACATTCCTGAATCGATCTCCTTTAAAGTTGCTGGGACGGTACTAGGATCTCTTCGTTCCCACTTTCTTTGCCATAAAGTCATCTCGGCATCTAGGCTTAAAGGGGACGGCAACGAATCTTCATGAAACGTAGAAAAC